AGTTTGAGCACGAAGATGTGCGAGTATTATACTGAGTTCCGTTGTCAAGGCTTAAAAATATGTAACTGTTTGTGTTAATTAAAGAAGAATGTTATTTCCGTTTATTTTATGTTATATTTTTCGCATTTTAAATGACAAGAAGAACAAACTATAAGTTTTTTTTTTTCTTTTTTATTTGAGATCATAAAATTGAAAGTTAAAATCATTTTTCAATTTTACTACCGCTTTGTTGACATCATATATAGATGCGCACCAAGTAAAATATCAACTAGGATCAAAACTAAAGCTTGTTTTCCAACTCCATGTCTTTAGTCCTTGTCTTCATACAAATCTTATTTTAAAATTTTCTCTTCTTTAATTATCTTTTAATATCAAATGATCAATCAACAACTAAAAATAAAACAAAATTTAAACATAAAATATTAATACAAAAATATCACTTGACATTGTCTATATTCTACAACGATCATTACATAATTGAGGTAGAAAATAATATATATAATGACATTTTTATAAAATAATTGATGTAAAAAAAACTTATTTTACATTGATTTAAATCAAAACTGGTGTAAAAAAGAGTTTTTTACATCAATTTAAATTTCATCCGATGAAATAACTTTTTTTTTTTAAATTTCAAAATCATGAAATGAAAAGCAATAAAGGAAGCTTTTATTATTATTATTATTTTATTTTTAATTTTTTTTATTGTTTTCTTGTTTTGTCTGGTAATTTTTGTGGGGGCTATTTGAGCTACTAGAAAAGGGGGCTCATTTGGGCTATGGTGGTGGTTAATGATTTTACAGCAGGTCAGTTAGAAACATCTCACTCAGGTTCAGGCATAGAAATAAATGTTAGACAACACACATAACAATCATAAAAGAAGGTACAAGTACAATTCATAAATAACAACACATAAACAATCACTTATCATGCAATGATGTCATGGACTTGACTCTTAAATGCATGCATGTGGCACGAGTCACGTGTCTCATAATCACATATCACTTGGTATGTTGCCAAAACAACATACTTGGAGTAGTCTAGGAGTATATGACGGTTCAACCGTGCGCTCTCAACAAGAAGGATGTACTGCTAAGATCTCGTCGGGATAGTGAAGCCACGCAATACATCTCATGCACACAAACAGACAGAACTGAGCCTTCCAAACCGCGCTATCCCTTAGGACTCCTCCGAGATATTTCATCTGAAGGCCCTTCCCTAACAGTGTACTCTATATCGTACTTCGTCACATAAATGCATATGATGCATGTAACACATTCACAAATCCATGGACTCAACATTTAACTTGTCATATCATATCATGTCTCATGTCACTTATTCACATTTCATATTCCCTATGTCTGGCACAACTTTCCTGTGCCTGACCAATTTTCCTAAGCCTAACTCAACTCCCCTACCCTCAGCGTCCTCCACGCGAACCTATGATTACAGACTTCGCAATCACGCGATTTTCACACTAAAACACATATGCATGCAATCCACACTACTACAAAAACACTGTTTAACATCGCTATATTTACATCGATTTTAGTAGAACCGGTGTAAATCATAAATGCGGTGGCAAACTTGTAAATAAATAGAAAATGCAAACATATTTACATCAGTTGGGAGGAGAAACGATGTAAATATAAGCAATTCTACATCGATTTTATGATTGACCGATATAGAAGTGAGCCCCTCATATGTGCCCCGCGAACACGCTAGGTTAAAGCATACTCGGGGCCAAGGCCTCTTCGCTCTCTTCCTCCTCCGTCTTCGCCTTCATAGACGTCTTCGCTCACTATTAGAAACAGAGCAGACCCTTTATTGGTAATGTGCAGGTGCTTCAGCGTCCTCACCTCTTTGGCTGCCATTCTCTACATCGCCGTCAACGTCCTCTCCGCCGTCCGTTCCTTCAAGCACGCATCTGACGTAACCCCTCTCTCTCTCTCTCAATCTTCGTTTCTTATTTTCCGTTACCGTCTGACACCACTCGCTTTCAGATTTTTGATAGCATATTCTACTATTACGCGGTTATCATAGCGGCTTTCGTCGTCCTCGCCGAGACCGAATGGTCTTTCATACTCAATTTCTCCAAGGTTCCGTTCCGTTTCCCTTAGTTACAATCAACACTCTCACGCTGTTACTCATGCTCCTAATCGAATGATTCTTTGCAGGCTTTGGAGTATTGGGCCGTCAGGGGGATGCTGCAGATCTTGTACGCGTTCCTTTCCATTTACTCACAATTATCTTATTTACTTCCACTACTTTCTGATTTTAACTTGCATATTAAATTATGTTCATAGTACGTTCCTAGCATTTTTTAATTCATGATGTTCCTTCAGGAATAGTAAACACATTTTTAAATTCTTGGCATACTAAATGTTTTATCATGAATTACTTGCACAATTTTTATGTTTTAGTTCCAATAGTCAGAATCTACTCATTTTAGTTCTTACCTATACACTTTTTTAATTTGTTTTTAGTCAAAATTGTAGGAACTGCAACGTAAAGACTATTCAATCATTAAGACTAAATGAGTAATTAGACTTGGATTCTTTCCAAATACTGCCTGGCCACTCGCATTGTTAAAATAATGCTTCACAGTTTGGATGTTAAGTTGTAAAGTTCAAACAACAATCCAAATGTCCCCTTGATCAAGTAAACTCACTTAATCTCGTGGGGAAACCAAATAGGGGAACTGTTGCTTAGTTACCCTGTGATGAAACAAAAATCTTATAATAGTGGCTTCTTCTCGTGTTTTGTTACTTTGATTTGATTTAGTAACCTTTCAGTCTTAACTAGGCTAGGTTGCTTGAGTAAACAAAACCAAAAGCTATAGTCTTAACCTGTTTCAAGCTTTATTGCATAAGGCATTCCAATCCCACAGAAGGGCACCTTTGGTTCCTTCTTTTTCCTGTCACCTTTCACAAGATCAACATTGGTCCCTTGACATTTTATATAATGGAACGAAATTAGTCACTCTGAAAATTATTTTGTCATTTGTATTCTCCTCTATAATGCATTGAAACAATGGTGATAATTATTCATTAGTAGTACTGGTATATCGTTTAAACACTAATAAGCTCTGCAACTATTTTTACTTCTCCAGGGCTTTCTGAATTAGCTTTAATTTTCTTCTTCTTCCATTCAAATATGTTGATTTTTGTTTACAAAAAAAATCTGAATCCATCTTTGTTGCAATAGGATTCTGAAGATGCTAAAAAGTTGGTTAATCAAGAAAAGTCTTTTGCCTGTGCCGAAATCCAAAGTGCTAGGTCAGTGGTGCTAAGAATTGGGGAGGCACTTGAGGAACAAGAAAAAGCTTCCCAAGCTTCTAAACCACAAGTACTAAAATGTTGTTTGATTACACGATTATATGTGTATGTATGTATAATTTTGCATTAATGAATTCATAATCAAGCTTTACTTTACACTAATAATTTCAATGTACACAGGAGAATCAAATGTATGGGAATAAGCAAAGAATTATTAAATAATACAATTTTAGGATAGTAAAGAGAGGTTTATTCTCTGTATGAAGGATGCAGCTAGAAAATAATATGTAAATAATACAATTTTGCATTTTTCTAAAATGACCTTATATATAATTATATACGTTAAGAACTTCTTATGAAGTTAGTTTCCTCATCACCTATACAAACTTGACCTAGAAAATTTTAAACTTTCATACATGTGAAAAATCTAATGCGTAAACGAACAAGCTTGTGTTTTTTTACTACCCTGTATATATTTATTTGCTTGTTGTTTAGTTAATATGGAAAATTCCTAAAGATGCTTTATTGATATTATGTTGCTATTGTTATGTTTAGCACGTAAAGTATACACTCTGTTTTTCCTCATTGACAGGACGTGGATGGACTAATAGAAGAGGTTCAAGAGGCTAGAAGAATCAAATTGTTGCATCAGCCAAGCAAGGTGAATTGCTTTTTGCTTCCTCAATACTGTTGTAGCTGATAGTTTTTGTTTAATTTCACTATACTGCATTTTTATTATTATTTAATAATAATAATAATAATAATAATAATAATAATAATAATAATAATAATCCATATGTTGACAAGAAGCATTGACACTCCATTTTTTTTGAAAATTTTATACTTTCACATATCTCACACCATGCTTGGATATCGCATTTTCCCCTGAAACCTTACAAATAGGAAATATTGATTTCGAAACATTTGAAATGCATAGAAATGTCATTAAGTGCTGAAATTTAATTTGAATTGTGTAAAATAGGCCATAACATATCTTAAAATACATTACATGTTAATATTAATCTTTGTGTAAATAAATATATTAATATTGTTGGTGTTAATTAATATAATCTGCTGTATCCTAAATCTATTAAAATTTCCTTGTCTAACTTCATAACATCTTGGATAACCTGTACCAAACTACCAATACCTGTGCGATTAGGCATGTCATAATTTAAAGACCCATTCTTTGTAACACCCTAGTTTTTCTTTCATTTTTATTTTATTTTATTGAGGGTATTTTGGTATTTTTTATAAATGTATAGGGGTAATTTAGTAGCTTGGAACAGGCTGTTCCGGAATTGGAACGAGCTGTTCCAAACTACCAAAATGAATGTGAATTAGTAGCCTAGAACGGGCCGTTCTCAAGTTAGAACGGGCCGTTCCAAACTATTAAAACTTCCTATAACCCTAAATGGGAATGGGCTTGGAACGGGCCATTTCCAAAATATGGCCGTTGTGAGTAATAAATGCACACCAGAACGGGCTGTTCTGGTTTGAGAACGGGTCGTTCTGGATGTGATTTTTACCCATGATTTAAGGGTCTAGAATGGGCCATTCCGGATTTGGAACGGGCCGTTCCGGCGAAGACTGATGCCTATAAATTGAGCTCTCTACCACTCTCAAAAAGCACACCTCTCATTTTCTGATTCTTTTCTTCTACTCTCTCTTCTTTCCCTCTACTTTCTACTTCAGATCGAGGAGAACCCAGCGAGGGGGATCAACCAGATCTTGTGTAGGTTCAGCTACTGTTTATCCCGGTACGGGGGAAAAAAGGATTATTGATATGTAGAGTTACATGAGGGAATTGGGTAGAGGAAGAGTCCTTAGGATTATGAGTAATTTTATAATTATTTTTGTTTGGAGAATTATTGGTCTTATGTGATTCTGTATGTATTTAAGACTATGAATATATGATTAATTTGTAAAAATGATGCTCTGGGAAAGAGAACGAAATTATAGAAAAGTGTCTGTAAGTTAAGTTTTGGAAAAATTGGATTATTTCTATTTGAGGAATTAATGATCCCATTAGATTCTGTTTGTGTTGAGGATTAGAAATATATATTTAATTTGTAAGAATGATGATCTGGGAGAGAGAACGAAATTGTAGAAAAGTGTTTGTGAGTTAGGTTTTGGAACAATTGAGGGTTTTACTATTTATGTTAAGATTATATTAAATGTGTAATTCCATTGATTATTATATTAATTGATAAAAATTGATGATTTAGATGTGAATTGCTTGAGGTATTATTTTGTTGGACTTATCTATTGTGTATATGGAATTGTGTATGTGATATGGAATTAAGCTATGAGATGAGATGTTGTATGGATGTAATTATGATTGTGATTGTAGTTCCTCACATCAATGACCAGGGATGGCAAGGCCTTTGGGTAAGTGATGCTACAGGGAGGGCGTGACCCTGACATGATGTGGATGAGTGAGATAATTAACACGTATCACTTATGTCAGTTGTGGCGTGACCTTGACATAGTGTTAATTGTAAGAATTGTGTGGATTGTGATGTGATTGTGGTTCTTCACACCTATGACCAGGGGTGAGCACGGCCCGGGATTGTTACATGGGTATCGTGACCTTGGTTAACATGTCAGGGGTGAGCACGGCCCTAGGTTAGGGGTAACGTGACCTTGGCACAGTGTTATATCAAGGGTGAGCACAGCCTTGGATTGTTACGTTGGTATCGTGACCTTGGATAACATGTCGGGGGTGAGCACGTTCCTGAGCTAGATATTCTATAAGGGAAACGTGACCTTGGCATAGTGTTATATCAGGGGTGAGCACGATCTTGGATTGTTAAATGGGTAACGTGACCTTGGCATAATGTGAAGTGTAAAATTTGTGATGATTGGTGTGATTGTGAATTATGACGTGATGATGATGTATGATTGATCGAGTTATGATATATTGCAATGTTTATGAATATTTTATTAAGTATAGAGTCATAATGATACAATATGTTGCGTTTTCCTTATGTGCTTTATATATAGATGCTTTCTTTTCTCACTGTACAATTTGTGGATATTTTAGGTGAGGAAGATCCGACTTTGAGTGACATCTAGGATGCCAATAGTTGAATTGTAGGTGTGCTCTGATATTGTGACATCAGGGCAGAAAATTCTAGGATATAGATTTTTATATGTATTTTGAGTTATACCTTGTCTTTTGAAAACAATTTGTAAACTCTTAAATTTTACCTTCCAAGTTTTATTTCCAGTTATTTTGGATATTGAAGAAAGAACAGTTATGAAGTTTTATGTGAACCCTTTTACCTATGTTGAAAATTTAATTTCCTTAGTTTAATTACATTATTACGATATATGTGTTGGGGGTAGTAAGGGTGTCACATTCTTCATAATGGTGAAATATGAGTATTTTTTTATTTCAGGTGATGGTGATGGAATATGAACTTCGTGCTCTTCATCAACTGCCCCTTCATCATCATCTTCCTTTAGTCCCACCACTCGCTCTAGGTGGTTCTATTTCTCGAGGTTTAGGGGTTTATTTGTAACAAGCGGAGAGCTTAATAGCTTTAGCTTAGGGGGATATTTAGAGTATTAACATTTATATAGGAATATTCACATTATAGTCAATTATATTTATGTTGATTTGATTAGAATAATTAGTTACTGGTTCATTGGTTGAGGATTAGTTTTTGCCACCTGAGATTACTCTATAACTGATAGTTAACTCTTTTTTTTTCTTCTAAATATCAATGTTTACTAGCAATCAGTTTATATAGTAACTGAAAGCTTGGATTGCAGTTACGGAAGATTTCTCTTGTCCATGTTGTTTGGTTAAATGTGCAACATTCAAGGTTAAATTTACTTCTCACCAAAAATAAGCATGATTTTTTTTAAAAAATACAATCTACATCGATTTTTCAGAACCGATGTAAAAATATATACATTTTCTACGTCGCTCTATTCTACATCGGTTTTAGAACCGATGTAGATGAATTTAGAGAGCCGATGAAGAATATACATCTTGCAGTAGTGTCAATCGATACAATTACTTCAAATAACTTCTAGAACACGAATTCATACTCAATTTCACATTAAACATTTTAATTCTTCTCAAATGATCATATCCCTATTTGTTTCTCATAGGGTTTCCCGTTGTACTCTAATCCACATCAAAACATATGTTGAGTGCTTATTATACATATATTTTTGTTATGATTTAGCACTCTTTCTTTCTTTTTTTCAAAATGTAAATAGGTTGATGCTTTTTAACTCTAAAAATAGGTAAAATTAGAAGATAAAAGAGTAGTAGAAATTAATGGTAATTTTCTCCCTTTTTTGTAGAAAAATTGTGGAAGATAGAATTCTATAGCCATGGTTGTGGTTTTGTAGCCATGGCTGTGAGAATTTGGAGTGAAATCAGGAGGTTAGAAAGTCGCAGCCATGGCTGTGGTTTTGCAGCCATGGCTGTGGAAACCTAGAGTGCAAAAATTGAGGTTCTAGAGACTTGTAGCCATGGTTGTGGATTCCTCAGCTACAACGTTGTAAATTGCTTAAACATGAAGGAGTCTCCACAGCCATGGCTGTGGATTCATAGCTGCAGCGGTGGAGCTTAAATCAACATGAAGAACTCTCCACATGCATGGCTGTGAATAAACTCTTAAGGATTGGATATGGTGAAACTACTAACTATTCTAGTTCTTAAATATATATGTATTTCACTCTCATTACTTGTGCTGGATTCTGTTCTTAATGCTTATATTGATTTGATCAACCGTTATATGATTTTTAGGTTTTGAATTCTGTTGGAAAACGTTTTTGAAAACCTGTGACACCCTTACTACCCCAACACATATTTAAATAAATCTTGTAATTAACTAAAGAATAAAATATTCAACAATGGTAAAAAGGGTTCACATAAAACCTTCAAAATCGTTCTTCAATAACCACAATAATAATGATTTAGAAAATGAAACACAAGAATTTACAAATTATTTTCAAAATGATATTTACAATTCCAAATCCATATAAAAATTTTGCCCTAGAAGTCCTCTGCCCTGATGTCACAATATTAGAGCATACCCCTAATTTAACTGTTGGCATTCAAGATGCCACTCGCAGCCAGATCTTCCTCACCTAAAACATCCACAAAGTTGTACGGTGAGAAAAGAAAACATCTATATGTAAAGTACATACAAACACACAACATATCATCTCATTATAACTCGATACTTAACAAAATATTCATAAACTTTTCAATGTATCATAACTTTATCAATCTTGCATCGTCATCACGTCATAATTCTCAATCACACAGATCATCACAAATCTTGCACTTCACACTATGCCAAGGTCACGCTACTCATTTAACAATCTCAGGCCATGCTCACCCCTAATATAACAATGTGCCAAGGTCACGTTATCCCTATCCCAGGGCCGTGCTCACCCCTGACATGTTAACCAAGGTCACGATACCCACGTAACAATCCAGAGTCGTGCTCACCCCTGATATAACACTGTGCCAAGGTCACGTTACCCCTAACCTAGGGCCGTGCTCACCCCTGACATGTTAACCAAGGTCACGATACTCATGTAACAATCTCGGGTCGTGCTCACCCCTGGTCATAGGTGTGAAGAACCATAACCACATCTCATTCACATTCATCACATCTCATCTTATAGCTCAATAACATATTACATACACACAACGGATAAGTCCAACAAAATAAGGGTTTCATACACCTCAAGCAATTCACATATAAATCATCAATTTTTATCAATTGATATAACAATAATATTCATAAATTAATATAATACTCAACAGAATTACCAATTTAATATAATTTCAACATAAAAAGTAAAATCCCCAATTGTTCCAAAACCTAGCTCACACGAACTTTTCTACAATTTTGTTCCCTCTCTCAGATCATCATTCTTACAAATTATTAGCATATTTATAATCCTCAACACATACAAAATCTAATGGGATCATCAATTCCTCAAACAGAAATCATCCAATTTTTCACAACCTAACTTACAGACACTTTTCTATAATTTCGTTCTCTCTCCTAGAGCATCATTTTTTACAAACAAATCATATATTTATAGTCCTAAATATATACAGAATCACATAAGACAATTAATTCTCCAAATAGAAATAATTATAAAATTACTCATAACCCTAAGGGTTCTTCCTCTACCCAATTCCCTCATGTAACTCTACATATAAATAATCCTTTTTTCCTCCGTACCTGGATAAACAACAGTTGAACTAAAATAGGAATCTCTTGGTCTCCTCCTCTAAATGCCCCTTGGTCTTTAGAGAGAAGAAAAGGGAAAGAAGAGAGAACAGAAGATAATAGGAAGAGAGAATGAGAGATGTGTGAAAATGAGAGGTGAAGGGCGCTATTTATAGGATTTCAGGCTCACCTACCAGAACGGCCCGTTCCAAAAGTGGAACGGCCGTTCTGGACCCTTCGAAACTACGCAAAATTCTCAACTGGAATGGCCCGTTCCAAAACCAGAACGGCCCGTTCTCAATCCCAGCAGAACGGCCCGTTCTCCAAACTAGAACGACCCGTTCTACTACTTTAATTTTGGGCATTTTTCTTATTTCGGAACGGCCCGTTTCACTTTTGAAACGGCCCGTTCCGGACAATCAATTGGGCCTCTGGCCCAGCGATTTTGGGCTGTTACAATACTCTCTTCCTTTATGAAATTTCGTCCTCAAAATTTTGCAATGGTAGACTCTTCGCTTCTTACTTTTTAATTCTTATGCAACCTCACTACCTTATAGATGTACAACTCTATCAATTTCTCTAAAGAATGTCTATTATCAACAAGGGTAAGACAAGTAAACTTTATGAGTCTATCCACTATAACTCAAAAAGAATCAATTCTTTAAGCACCTCAGACAAACCCACAACTAAGGCCTATCCACACATTGTCTCGTTCCAAAATGAGACGTCTAAAGGCTACAAAATCTCTAAAGACTTCGAGCATACTAAACATAGGTACACAAATTACTCTATTACTCTCTTTATCTTAGGCCACCATGCTTCTGCTGCACCACTCTGATACATCTTCCTAAGGTCCCGATACATCTCAGTAGCTCCTAAATGAATGTTAAAAGTACTCTTATGGTCTTCCTCTAAAATCATCTTTCTTAATTCAAAGTTACTAAGCACCCAAGTTTGTTCTTGCACCTCAAAACAACGTCGATTTCTACTCAGAAATGGTTATCTATACTTCTATCAATCTTCTCCACTAGGTTCCCTAAGAAAGGCTCTAACTCCTAGTCTTCTCTAATCTCATCCATTAATTCACTAGTCACTTTCAACATAATCAATTCAATGCTCCTAAGGATAATCTCACACACCAAGCATAAGTCTTTAAATTCTTCAATCAAATCCAACCCTTAAATCATCAAAAATGATATATCAGAGGTCATCATAATCAAGGCATCTGCCACAATATTGGTTTTACTTCTATGATCATTTCTAAAGATCAAGCACCTAAGTCAAACTCCATCTACACCCAAGTCAAACTCTCATCCATCACCTTATCCTATAGCCTTATATCTTGTCACCAAAAATGAATCAACTAATTATGCTTCTCCAATTTCCTTCAACAATCCATTCGTTACTCAAGTCATACTTAGTCTCACACTACTAAAGGTAACCTTATAAGCCCAACTTAAGTCTCTAATTTGAGCCAAAAGGATTCATCTCTCTGATACACAAAACATCAGTCACCACAATGGCTTTACTCAATTAACAACTAAGTTTGAAATATTAGTCCTCCAGAAATTAAACTATCTCTTTTGTCACATAATTAACTCCTTTAGTCAACAGATAATTAAGGCTCTAACGATCAATAATTACCTCAAGCTTAGAATCATATAGGCAGTGTCTCTAAATATTACAACTGCTAACTTAAAATCATAGGTAAGGTAATTCCTCTCATGAATTTTCAATTACCTAGACACATAAGCTACTATCCTTCCTTCTTGCATCCATACTCCAACCAACCCATCTTAGAAGCATCACTATATACCACATAATACTTACTAAAATACGGTAGTATTAACACTAGTCAATCTTTCCTTAAGAGTTTGAAAACTACTCTCACATTTGTTATCCCATACAAAGGCAACTCTTTCCTAGTCAATCCAGTCAAAGGTAATAGTAAGCGACCCAGAGAAGTAAGCGACGAAATGCTTTGGGGAGTTAAAAAAAA